GTCGCCAACGCATGTTTGGCAACATCGGGGAAATTCCGTCAGGTCAAAATCCTTGAGGACACTAATTTCTGAATTTCTAAGGAACCCTCTGGAATACGACTTTATGATACCCGGGCTGAAGCAAAAAACTGAACAATAGCTAAATTTCTAAGTGACCTTATGTGCCGCATACTGGCTGCAGGCCGGCCTGCTGAAACTCATAAAGAGGAAAAAACTAACGGTTACAAATGACTCTACGAATATTTAGCCGTATCATAAAGTTGTCCCCTTGATGTCTTAACACTTAACATGCCGTCCACATTGAACATATATATATGTTCAACAATGTATCCTAACTAATACAATATATTGTCGCGATGTCTAACTCTACTATGGATCTATATGATCTAATATTATACTGAACTAAATAGTGCGCGAACGTGCTCATTACATACTAAAATTATAATGAAGTAACTAGAATATTGAGATCTATAAAACTGACTACGGCTACTATTAATTTACAATATTTACACTATTTACATATGTACATAATTATAAAACTGAATGTTCTCGTTTTTTTTCCTTTAAATAACAGGATTTGTAGGGGAATCTGCTATCGGGTCTATAGGTAATAAGCAAAGTTTTGTGATTGGTCGTTTGATGATCCCAGCAGCGGTCCTCACGGTTGCAACTCTTATGATGCCATCTTGACCTGGGTGCACTTCCACCACTCGTCCCAAACTCCAATGAAGTGGTGGTGTATTGTCTTCTTTGATAATAACCAATGCCCCTGTGATTATCTGTTTGGTGATGCTGCGCCACTTGTATCGTTGTTGCATCTTTCTTCTTTGATAATAACCAGTGCGCCTATGATTATCTGTTTGGTGATGCTGCGCCACTTGTATCGTTGTTGCATCTCATGGATGCATTCAGCTTGCCACCGTCGCCAAAAATGTTGGAACATTTGTTGTAGCAACTGAAATCTATTCAATCTATTAGTTTTGACATCCTCCAAGTTGCGATCTGGTAAACTCGTTGGAGCAGTACCGATCAAGAAGTGTCCAGGTGTTAACGGACAGAAATCGGTAGGATCTGAGGACATGTCCAGGTGTTAACGGACCGAAATCGGTAGGATCTGAGGACATGGGAGAAAGGGGTCTGGAATTCAAGCAGGATTCTACTTGTGTCAACAACGTATACAACTCTTCGAATGTAAGACGTTGGTCCCCGATTACGCGTTTTACATGATGTTTTGCGGACCTAACTGCCCGCTCCCATAAACCACCAAAATGTGGTGCGTGTGGAGGTATTAACTTCCATTCAATACCATCTAAATTTAGTGTATCGCTTATTAACTTATTATGACGCTTATCTTTTATTAATGCCCCTAACTCGGCTAACTCATTTCGCGCTCCGACAAAATTTGTACCATTGTCTGACACGATGCAACGACACCTACCTCGACGCGCAATAAATCTTCTTAAACATTGAATAAATGCATTTGTGCTTAAATCTGTCGCTAGTTCCAAGTGTACCGCCTTTGTAACAAAACATACAAAAATGCATAAGTATGCCTTTACACTAACTTTACTTCTCGTTCTTTCCTTTGTGTAAAATGGACCCGCATAATCTACACCGCAGGTGAAAAAAGGTCGTGATGGGGTAACCCTAGCTGCAGGTAGCTGACCCATTTGGTGAGTTTCGCTAACAGGGTTGGCTCGAACGCATCTTATGCAATTGCGTATGATTCGTCTCACATTATTTCTACATGATAGAGGCCAGTACCGCGTACGCAATGATGCTAGTACTGCTTGATTACCTGCGTGTAACAAGCGAATATGCTCGTACCTAATAACTAATTCCGTAAACGGGTGCTTGGCCGGAAGTATTACAGGATACTTTGTATCGTAAGGAATTGGTGCGTTCGCAAGCCTGCCGCCCACCCTGATCACTCCTTTACTGTCCAAAAATGCATTTAATGTCCTCAATGAACTCGATTTTGAAATTGGCTGCCCCGATTCTAATGCGGCTATTTCATGCGGAAACGCTTCCTGTTGTGCAAGACGCTCCAAGCGTATACGTGCCTGATCTAATTCCGTTGTTGTCAACGGCTCTGAACCCGATCTTAGAACCATTGCTTGGTTATTCCTACACTTTAGCTGAGAATTGCGAGTAAATCTAAAAATATATGCTGTGACTCTAACCAGTCGCGTATAATTAGAAAATTTTTCAAAAATGCTCAGTTTCTCATTGGTAAATACAGCCAGGGCATTCTTAATTATTCTCTCCTCTAAAATAGGTGCTACATGCACTTCTGTTGAAATGGGCCACGACTCTACATCCTTTGAAAGCCACGCAGGACCTGACCACCAAATTTTTGACTGTGCGAGTACTGATAATCTAACCCCTCGTGAAATCATGTCCGCAGGATTATCTCCGGAGGCCACATGCTTCCAACTATCTACTGACGTTACTGACTGAATCTCTGAAACTCGGTTGGCTACGAAAGTCTTCCATCTAGTTGGTGTACTGCGTAACCACGCGAGTGTTATAGTAGAATCTGTCCACAAATGCTCAGTTAACTCTACTAATGATAATGCTATCCTAATTTTCTTAACTAATTGCGCTAACAATAACGCACCGCAGAGTTCCAATCGCGGTAACGATACTGCTTTAAGAGGTGCTACTCGCGATTTCGCGCATAGCAATGCTGTTGTCCATTGACCTGCCGTATCCCGAGAACGCAGGTAGACACA